GCTAATTTTTTCAAATGAGTGCATATATAGAGAACGGCATATATAGAGAACGGCAGAGACAAAATGTTTGATGTTCACACTGTATGTTGTTTTCACAGGGAGTGTTTCCTAATTGAGGAAATGGAGAATGTAAAAAAATTTAAAGCGGCCATTAACAGATCGTTTGGTACTAAAGGAGGGATTTTAGCCCATGGAATCAACGATGGCCAATTGAGCAGCTATATCATGGGAAAAATGCAAGAGTTCTCATTAAGAGAGGGTAGGCAGATGATTGCCAGCTTAACCACTGGGCGTCAACCAAATTTGCGATCTGTTAACGTGTTAGGGGAATTTGTCGACGAAACAGATCTGTCAGCTGTGGAAAGGAAAGTGGACGATCCTGACACAGCAGTGTACATTCTCAATGATAAATTGCAGGTGCGTTTACTACAGCAAGACGATTTTATGATACTATATAGGTCTGTATTAAACTGTCACTCAATTTATCCTCGATAGATTAACAAGGATGGAGTGATTCCAGAGCAGTTTTGGGAGCATAAATTCATGGTGCCTTTTTTGAGGACAATGCCTGCCGCAACGTCCGATAAAAAGGTACGGAATTTTCTACATGGCCACGAAGTTTTCATCGACTTGCCACTGCAAGAGTTCAACTGGGAACTTTTCATAAGCAAGGCAAAGGGTTTCTTCAAAAAGAACTTTCTGCCGTTTATTATCCTTTTGAGTGGTGGATTGGCTATTTTCCATTATGAAAAAATTCTTTCATGCATAGGTAAGATTTAGAAATGGAGAACCTTTTGTCTTGTAAAAGCACATTTATAATATTACTGGCTAGGCTGTTTTGTCCGCACCAATATTTTTTATTAAAACAACTCCATTTTAGGTCTCTCTCTCTCTCGTTATTTTGCCTTGCCGTTTTTTTAGAGCCTCCGGCTGGAGTCAGGTCTCGCGATATGGGTCGACGGACAAACCATTATTACTCCAGTTTACACCCTTGCTGTAACTGAATAAAAGCAATACTCTTTTCAGGTTCCTGCCCTGTTCCGACCGCCATTGGGGATCCCTCCAGTGGGAAATCAACCGCATTGAAGTTGATAAGCCAGTTGGCTGGAATGCACATGGTTTCCCAGTCTTCTGGGGAATTCATTGTTTCTGGCTTGGTGAATACAACAATCCCGGTGTGCTGGGATGATCCAGCACTTCCGAGCATGGTTCGTCAGCCTCTAGTTTCTGTGTTTGACGGTCTTGGAAGTCAGACACAACTGTGTGGAAACGAGAAACCATTGAATTCCTTTTTACTGACAGTGAATTTCAAACTGGACGATCACATGAGGTACGTATGGAATATTATTTTATGGACACCGAGAATTTTTGTACCAGTCAATTCCAACTGCGACCCCCCCCCCTGAGCCCGCCCCGTCAGGGATTTGACTCTGTCCGCGGTTGCACAAAATTGGTCAGCAGCGGTTGCATGCACAAAATCGTAATCATCTGTTGGAAAAGAGCATCTTTACACATCTTTTACTCATCTTTATAAGAATTCACACGGTGGTTGGTTGCTATGCATTTTGCTCCCGGAAGCGCGGGCTTCGTTTTTTCCAGCGGTGTTGGTGTGAATGCGAAATGGCGTTGTTTATTAACCTTATAACCGGAAAGGTCATGTATTTGGCTTAAAATTTCTTGCAGTTACAGTAAAACAAATTTGTTGGTATATTTTAACTGATTTATAAACTTCCATATTTAAATGGAACGATTGTGATAATTTTATTTAGCTGTCAAATAACCGGTCGGAACTATTAACTGGTGTCGAATACCTCTAGCCTGCGCCGCAGACGATATATCATATTTGCTCCCGTATAGTTTATATTTCATAATACGGAACGCAAACCAATGTACAAACTGTTCCTCTTTTCGCCTAGACTCGTGTTTCTTCATCAGTATATGCAGGTAATTTTGGGGAAATTATCTGACGCTGCTAATACATAACATATATCGATTTAAAGTAATATATCGACAGCCGGACAGAGAAACATACTAACTGTTTTGGTTAGTCGCGTCAAAAAACCTATCTATACTATAGTTCTCGCAAGAATATTTGTTTGTTGAATATGTTCTATTATAAAATGCTTTCATATTATATTTGTGTACGATGTAATTTTGAGATATTCATATATAAACACATAGTTCCATTTGACAATATATATAGCAGATTTAGCTACAGTGCAATCATACCTGCGAAGTATACTACAGCCTACTACAGTTTATTATTTATACTGCGCAAGATCCGTAACCGCATAAAATAATAGTAACATACAGTATACTAGTGATTTAAATTCCTTAAGATACGCAGCTTTCCCTGAAACAGATTTCATGTCTTTACGCACACTTAATTTTATCATTTATTTTGTAAACTATAACTCAGTCTTCTGTAGTTATATTAATGTAAATAAAACTTGAGTAAGGCACACAATAAGCTTTTATCGAAGTCAAGAAACCAGCTAACTCAAGACGCACAGCATGAGGTGAAGTAAACAAATATGAACCTCGCGTGACTTGCATGACAGATCTCCTTGGCTTCTATGAGTTAAAGAACAGAACTTTTTCCCCAAAACTATCGGGTAGTGGTCTCGGTGTGTTGCACACTCCTGGATGTCCTTTATTTCGATCACATGTTTGACTTTTATGGCAATAATCTATCGAACTAAAAAGGCAACACAGCGGGAAGTGAAGCAACAACATGGCGCATCATGAACGCGTATAAAATGCAAATGCGTTTGTCAAAGAGACTTTTTCCCACACCTTTCTCCGGCACTGCTATCCATTTAGACCTGTTAAATAAATGCTATTCTTCAACTTTGCCTTGAAAAGTTTCTCCGAAATCAAGTTTCAACAAAAATATTTTTAAAAAACAAGGAAAAATGCCGAATTCTTAGCTATTTCTGCTAATAATTCCGGCAATGCTCCGAATTCAGGAGGGTTTTCAAGGGGGGATTGTAGGCCATGCACGTGTGATGCTGTGAGACCCCTAGACAGTACAATTTGTCCTTCTCGGCATGATTCTCATCGCTCAAAAGGCGAAAATACATGGCCACAACAACACCAACATTTTACCGTTTTCAAATAACCGTATAGGTTATTTGTGCACACGAGCTAATAGACGGTTCGATGTAGTACAGATTGAGCAAGTATCGTTTTAAAACATTGAAAAATAAACGCAAACAGGAGCGCCAAAGACGCAGTATTTGAACCACGCCATAATTTACAGCTAGGAAACCGGAAACCAATATATGCGGGCAATTTGACTCCGGGAGCAAACTCCATCGTGTCATGCGAAAAATTATATGTAAATTTTACGTTTTATATATAATATCATTCAATTTAAATATGCCTTTTCACCTTTGTCATGATATAATTAATTTATATTAGTTGCGTTTTACCACTTTGACGTGGACGCATTTATATTCCTTTCATTACACATTAAATATAAAAAGTCATGGGTATCTGGCTAGCCCAGACGGAGGGGCAATTAACCACTTTTTCCCCCCGCATCCTGGGGAATTTGACGACGGTTTTCGCCCACACAGTGGAGAATTTGACCAAATTTTCGATGATCGCAGTTGGAATTGACTGGTACATTACACTAGTAAAATTATATTGTTCTCGCTTGTCATTGAATGAACGAACAATGTTTTTTTACCAGTGAAAAGACATCGTTTCCCTTGTGAAATTATACCGTTCGCGTTTTCGTTTCATCAGATATCTATGAAATTATGGCCTTTTTTTCACATCCGAGTCACATTTTGTGCCAAGAAAGTCACCGTACTTTACCAGAGTCTCGAAGAGATGTGAATTTACTTGAAAGCTTTCTCAGAACAAATGACAAGGATAAGAAAATTGAATTCCGGCCATGAAGCATAACCGAGACATGCATATAAGTTCCAAAATATATTGAACTTTGATTTTCTTTGTACGAATTTGATCTGTAGTCATTCGTGAATTTGAATTGACGTTGCAGGCTCTTGACTGCACGACCCATACTCGCTTGAGAAAATAAACTTGTCCATTTACAGCACTCTGGGTACGAGGTTGATCGAGCGTTTGAAATGCAAGTCATGAACTGATCTAACTAGTTTATACATATAGCATTAATCTTTAGCCTAATTTCCTAGGTCTTTTGAACGAACAACACCTATCTTTTTCCAAAAGTTGACAATGTTGGAAGGTGAACTGGTGCAGGAATAGATGGCAAGAAAGAGCGAGATATTTGGTTTGGCGTCTACGCACAGTTTAACCCAAATTATTAAATTAAGTGGCTCCCTCAACAAGAAAAACTTGACTCAGCACATTCAATTTTTCTGCAACAGACTGCATGGGTTGCCGCCATGTCTAGCCGACATTTACTCCATATATCGCCACTTCGCTTTCGAGGTAATTCACTGCACTCGAATTGTATGTTGCTTAAAGTGATGATAATCCCACAGTATTACTATTTATATATTAAATAGATATACTCTAAATGCCCTTCCCCCTGCGGACATAATTATGTTGTGTTAAACATTCGTATTTAACTTAAAGTGAAGTCTGAGGCAAATTACAATAACCATAAAGTAGAATAAATATTAAACGTAAGCACAAAATCACACAACTGATCTGTTTTAAACAAAACACATTACAGTAAATGAATAATGAAGAGATTATTTTTCTGTAACCGTTATTGAGTCAGGAATCAGGAATTAGAAAGTTAACATGAGGACAAGTGGTAACAAGTTAATAAACAAGAAGTTGTTTAACTGCCGAATCATGCAGCGAAAAAAATAACAGTATTCGATTTTTATGCTTAAGGTCGTTAAATTGGTGAATAACCCAGACGTGATTGATTGTGGGACGGTGGATGAATTTTTCCAAACAAATTTTCTCCCTTATGTACGTTCGCTTTACGACGTCACAGTAAAAGTTCATACAAGTATCGACGAAGTTGTAAAACTTCTTTTGCAAGCTATCCAAACTAAAAAGTACGATGAAGACAAGGTACGTGTCTTATTGTTGAGTTATTTCAGCTGAGAGGTGTATCACTAAAAAAACAGTGCGGAAATTTGGGCTTTTCAAATCCCACATGGATTTTGTTGGTTTATTTTTAGGGATTATGATTTTGCAGAATTTCGAGGATTTTTTAGAAATTTTTTAGAAAGATATATGAGAGATTCTTGTGGGCCTTTTAGGGTTTTTTTTGGATGGTGTGTGATATTTTTTTAATGATACACTCTGGAATTCAGCATAGGATGTACAGTTAACATCACACATGTTAGAGCGCTCTTTTTTTCTCAGCTTCTATATATTTCATTACTTTGTAGTTACACGAGTGGATGAGACCAAAGATGACAAACAAAAAAGCCAGAGTGGATTCTCTTGTCTTCATTTTGCCTAAAGCTCTGGACACAATAAAAGAAAGTTGCCCTGAGTGTCCAACTGAAAAAAACGTTAGGGCGGAAACAATGCCTTCAAATCACTTTTTTCAGGTACTGCCAAAAAAGTCAGTTGTGTAGCTGTACCAAGGAACACAATCAGCAGGGATGTTCTCCAAGCATTAGACGAATGTGAGTGACACTTTCATATATGTGATGAAATAATCAACTAGCATAGGGGGTCCTGGGAGGGCAAACAGGAACTTAACATGGATTTGCTCAATTTTAGCGGAGGGCTTTTTATCAGTGGGAAAATCTTTGTAATATATTAGAAATGTTTAAAATGACCCTCTACGCCTGGGAAAGTCCCGATTGAGTCAACAAGTGGACAACTCATCAATAAATATTACGCGGTGTTTGTACAAAACTTAAAATACCCTGTGGCGTGGACCGAACAAACATTGTTTGAACAATTTTATTTATATTTATAGTATTTGGAGTAAATGATGTTCAGACGGTAGAAGAAAATAAAAACGAGGAGTGTGATAACTGCCAAATATTGAAAAGGGAAATCGACGAATGCAAAGAAGCTCTAACCACGGGATTACGGGACGCAAAAGCAATGCATGACAACGAACGAAAGAGACTGGAAATTGTAATTGCGAAACAAAAGGATGAGCAAGAAAACCAAAAAACCTATTTCGAGCAACAAATTGTGGCACACAAGAGAAAAATAGATGAGGCGATGGCTCAGGCTAAAAGGTTCAAAGATATGGTGATGGAGGAAAATGAACCAAGGCAGAGAAACCAGGAAGTTAGTGTTGTTGCACAAGCATTTGCGAACATTATAGGTAAGCCACGAGAAATTACACGTGTCTCTAGTTAGTCTCCCTTACAGCTCTAAGCAGCCCATTTTCGAAATTTGCCAGCTACCTTATGATTCCCCTTGGATGAAACAGGCTGTAGTGGTGTCCTTTTAAATAAGAGCTATATATATATATATATATATATATATGTATATATATATATATATATATATATATATATATATATATATATATATATATATATATATATATATATATATATATGTATGTATGTATGTATATATGTATATATGTATGTATGTATATATGTATATATGTATATATGTATATATGTATATATGTGTGTGTGTGCGTATATATGTATATGTATATATATGTATGTATATATATATATATATATGTATATGTATATGTATATGTATATGTATATGTATATGTATATGTATATGTATATGTATATGTATATGTGTATATTTATTATTTATATGTATATATGTATATATGTATATGTATATATGTATATGTATATGTATATATATATATATATATATTCTGAGTTTCACGCTGAGTGCGATCATCAGGTGACCTGATGATCGCACTCAGCGTGAAACTCAGAGAAGTGACTCAATTTTAAGCTAAAATACTATTTGCTCCGTTAAATACTTGATGTTGAGCACTCTTTTTAAACTATATAATTGAAACAATATTATTATATATATATATATATATACAGAGCATGTAAACGTCTGCCTTCTGGGGAAGTCGAACTTAAGAAATAACATCGAAGTTACAGTTTAAATGAATAACGATTATCTGTATAGACGTAATACTTGTATGGACTTCTTTAGAACCAGAGCTGGTAGAAGATACCGATGAACTAAAGAACAAAACCACACTTGATGATTCAGGTTAGTTTGGACAAGATTGTAATAGGCCATTTCCAAGTTATGCTCTTGTTGCCAAAACAATAACAGTGGGGCGTGTCTCCGTATAAAAAAAAACATTACAATTTCGGACAGAACTTCATTTTCAAGATAGCGTAATTGGGAAGTGGTGTATTTCGTACTCGATAGTGACGTTAACGTACATCTTACTTTGTACATATATAAGAACAAATGCAACGTGCATATCTGCAATTTAGTGATTTTTTTAGGTTTGGGTGAAAATTTGGAAGTAGAGAAAGACGGTATGTGCTCTTAATATCTCTTGTTAACTAAAACTATATCCCCATACAAACAACAAAATTAAATTGCCCCTAAAACATGTAACCTTACAAGTAATCCTTATTTTCTATCGATTATAGAGGAAGGACCAAGCACAAGGAAACCAAACACCACAGTTTGTGGAATATGCAAAAAGAAGAAGAATAAAGCAAGCATGATTGTTTGCATTAAATGTAACCAATGGTTACATTGTAAGTGTTTGGGAATAACGTTGAAAGAAGCCACAAAAATAACTTCAACTTTCGTGCGTGAAAAATGCTAAATGAGCAAGTGGAAAACAATGCAGCAAGCATAAGGTTAACTGGCCACAAATGTAAATATTTTTCTTAAGTGACGTTCTTTGTTGACACAGCTCTAAATATTTTTGTTCATATCTTTAAATTGTATTTACAGTAAAATACAGAGGTTTACTTTAGACACTATTACATTTGGCCGTGATATGGATTTGGTTCCAGGCCACTTGGTTACTTCCGCAAGTTTTGTGGTTCTCTTCAATGGATTAGTGTCACACCTTAGTATCGCGGGCGTTTGTTATTGTTTTTATTTTACCCAAAATCAACAAATAACGTTTAAGATACCTTGTTTGGTGCATCTCCAATTTAAGAATAAGATGAAAGCAGTATTACGAAAAACTTTTGATTGTAGTCGGCCCATAAAATGAATGGCTGCCAGCAGCAAATTGAGCCCGCAATACTGTGGTGTTACACTAATCCTTCAAGGAAAAAAATGCCAAACGCCCTATCAGTGTCATAAATAGTGACCGATTCAATGGTACAGTTTTTTAAAGGTCAACACGCACCAATCCCCCCCCCCCTCAATTAATTATTACACCATGTTCCAGTGAAAATACTTTATAAAACCGGTTTTCGGAAATGTTTAAAAATCGCAGACACGAAAATGTTAAGGAAAGGTGTACAGTGAGACTTCTGGTTGTATTTTCTATTCTGTGTCCAGGACAAGAGAAATTAATTTTGCACGTTTACCATAGGTAGCCCAACAATCAGTGTTATTAATTCAATTGATTGTAGTCGGCCCATAAAATGGCTGCCAGCAGCAATTGCATCCGCTGCATTGTTTACGCGCGGTCAGATCATGTACGTATCCCTATAGAATCCCTATAGTATGGTTTATATGTTGTTTTACATCACTAAGATACTTTTTGTTTTTCGTCAAGTAATAATAGTCCAAAAATACGGATCTAAATCGTGAATTTTCCATTTTATAAAAAACTGTATTGAGCCACCTTAAAGAGGAACTTGATAACGATATTATAAGTTGACCTTTAGAAGCTGAGCCTTGATATCATTAGACACTTCCCGAATTTGGTTCATTGTCCACGATGGAACATTTGATAAACAAGACTGGCAATGAGACAATGGTACATCAATTTTACTATATTTCTTCATCACCAACCTCTATATGAAACCATTGTGGTCATTGAAGCAAATTTGAGAAGTGTACCGCACAGTAGAGTACATTGACATAGAAGTTAATTGTCTGAACTTTTGCCAATTTTTGGGAGAACTGGTGTCTTCCTAAGACGGTGACATTTCTCGGTATATCTGTTCCTGTACTGTACAAGCTGTGCAAAAAAAATAAATGATGGACATGTGGCATTGCACACATAACCTTTTTGAATCGGCTTGCCCAAATAAAAGTTTGTTCACATGCCATTGTGTTGAACTGTTTTGGTACTTTGTCATCAGCATTGTACAATTTGTGGCATTTTGGATCCACATGATTCCTTATGTGAAGTCTATCTATGACCTTCGTGATTAATTTCCAAGCTTCATGGAATGGTTTTGGCAATGGGAGATCAGCTTTGGCAATCTTAAGGCCGTCCATGTTGCACATGTTATCATATGCCAAACAAATCGAAGACATTGCCTGCTGAATATCCTCATCAGAGTGGGTATCTTTCATCCCCTTAAATTTTCGGTACAACCAGAGAATCGTGACAAGGAATGCTTGTGTCGGTGATTCAGATCTAAAACAAAACTACTAAATTCACCACAGGTTGCCAAAAGAATGCAAAAAGTTTTTTTGTACCTTGTAAACCCAACGTACAATGATATTAGTAGCTAAAATCTGTGGAGGGAATTGTATACACACCTGTAAAGTGGCTGCCAGTACTCAATATTCCCACCAGCACTTACAATGACAAACTGTGGAATGCCTTCAGACCACCAGTGTCTTTATTGCAGGATGTCTCATCACTTAGTGATTGATCTCCAACAAAGCTTGGGTTGGTTTGTAAAAACTCTGTTGTTCCTTCAAGTCAGAAATAAAAAACAGTGTAACTACATATATTTCATATTGTTGTTAGGTAGTATTTGTTTTTACATAATACTGACCTTGGAATGTAGAAGCATTGCATTCATCAACATCTTGTTCAGTTGAACAAATATTGTCCAGACAAGTAGATATTATACTTCCATGAGAGGATTCTAAAAATGCCAAAAAGCCTACAAATTTATGGAAACCTGGAAATACTGTGCTGGTGTGTTATTTATTAAGTAGAAACATCATGTACCTGTAAGAGTGGCACGCGTTGAAAGCTCTTCAAGGGCTGTAAAGTAAATAATACTAATTATAATAACTGACACACATATTATTAGCCCCCCCCCCATTCCTGTTTTATATTTTTTGAGTTATTGTACTTACAGGCACAAACAAATAAACAGATACACAAACATTTAAATAGAGAAAGCAATAACCTCGATGCATAGGTATACTAAATTACAAACATCACAAATCAAAATCTAATATGGCACTACAAAACCTGTATAAGTAAAATAAATATAGTTATACAAGGGTGAAGAAAAATAGGTACGCTATAGGCATACATGTATCTGCGCATTTGTTTCATAGCAACTATGAAAAAAATTTCATTCACAATTATTGAGTAAACATTTAAATTTCGAAGTGACTATACAGCTGGCAGCCAGCTATTTAGTAAACTGCCAGCTGTATAGTGACTAAGAAAAAAATGCTAAGTCAAACAAAAAGTGCCTATACCATATACTCGAACGGCAAGCTCGGTCAAAAGTTTTTTATATTTAATTAATTATAGTCACTATATAGCCAAACCTTTTTGTTATAACTATATTATAAGTACCCAAACAATCTAAATTTAACAAAAATTTCATAACATGGACGGATTTGTAAAATTGAGAGGTGTTTCCACATTGTCCACTTTTTTATACACCTTGTACTGCCTGTAGAACAAATTTATTTTACTGCTTGCAAAACATTACCACACAGCACAGCACAACAAAATGTATGCAGGACATATAAATATAATTTTAACCCTTTGAGTGACAATGCACTCTGATGTGCCCTACTGTGTTATTTTACTCTTGCTAATGCCAGACAATTTTACTCTGTTTAATGCCAGATGATTTTTTAACAATTTTATTGAGAATTCTACAACGTTTTAAACACAGCAGTTCTATATAGAAATAAGTAGAATACCCAAATGGACAATATCAAACAAGAACGAAACATAAAGTCCCATGCAAGGTGCTTACCATTCTAAAACTATACAAAACAATAAAATAGAACACAATACAATACAATACAGTACAATACAAAACAGCACAAACATGAAACACAATTATTTACTAAGTTCTATGACATGGAAGTCATACACTAATGACCATGTACATGCTGCACCAGTCACACCACAATATTTGTAAAAGTCTCTAAGTCCAGTTGGCACTCCTAACTTGTATGCTTTAGCACAGTGCGATTCACAAAACGCTTGTCCACGCTTTGGTGACAATGGACAGATATTTGGGTAACTGATTGGGCCAAATTTTCCACATGCAGTGCGCATACCGGAGTTTCCAATTCCCATCTGCGACATACAATTGACCACAACCTACACAGACAAATTAAAATGCAAAAAAAAATTAAAACACATGCTGGTATCCTGTGATGGTACACTCTTTGTTTTTATTATAGCTTTGCTTTTGCAATGATCTGTACAATTATGTAAATATAATTGACAACTGCGCATTTTGTCAACCATTTCCATTGCATGGTCATAGCTTCCAGATAATGGACCAGGTTCCTTTGACAACACCCATTTCCCCCTTAAACCAAGTGTGGCTAGTTCTTCCTCCACTTCTCTGTGCCAAAAACACTTAGCTAATGCTTTAGCTGGTAGTTCACCAGGCAGAACACCTGCAAAATTAAAATACAATAAGTCAGTAACTAAAAACTTTACTTCACAAGGGAAACATATTAACCACAAAATAATTATCTAACAAACGGCCCTCACAATGTTTACAATATTTAGAAACAATAAAAGGTAAGATTACTGTTATTTACATATGAGAACAAAATTGGTTAGTAAAGAATACATTTACAATTTAGTAAGCATTTACAATTTTTACAAAACAGGTCTTCAAGATGGTTAGTAAGGTTATGCTTATTAAGAAGTTTGTGAAGCATAAGAGCATGAGAGTGAAATGGCAAGTTGTTTACATTCACTGTTGAAGGCATTAAAAAGAATGGAAGCACTATAAAGAAATGTTCTTTTGCCTGAGTCATTACGTGGGAAGGAAGTCGAAGGTCATATGTGCAAGCTCTAGTGTGAGCCTGTTGTCAAGTGGAATATAAGAATTTAAACATTTGATATTTGTTGTGTTGGTGTAATGTACTCAGGTGAATAAGATGCTTGTGATGTTACTCTGAGTGGGTATCCATACCGGGCACTGCAGGCTTAAAAAATATACCTGGCCACGGTGGGATTCGAACCTACAACCTTTGGAATACTATCCCAATGCTCTGCCAACTTAGCCAACTGTGCCAACCAACAAATACCATGATTATTAGATTACACTGATATCGAAGGAACTAGACTCAAGTTCTGAAATATATGTCTAGATCAAAAATGTCTAGATCAAAATTTTAGTTATAAGGGGAAAATATTAACCACTTTGGATTTGTGAAACTCCTTAATAGTTCATGAAGAAAACTAGCCTTGCTCGCTCTCTGGGTGAAAGAAAGCCTGCAAGGATCCCTATGATGATTGCATGCCGCCGCCGCCTTTCAATTAGATTGTCACAGGTCAATTAATATCAACCAATCAGCGCAGACCGGAAATACACTTAAATGATGTAAACATAAACCGATAAACGTTGAACTCCATTTAAAGGCATTTATATAGTTTCGTATACAGACCGCCACTGGGGCATACTAAAAAAGTTAAAACGGCTTGAGATTTTACAGTGTAATATAGTTCAAATTTTGCAACAAAAGGTGGAATTACAGTATTAAACATGCATGTGATAATTATTGTAAACAAAGTGACGAGTAAATTACTGTACATTTTAACGCTGCATACTTATAAATATTAAATAGTCAGTATAACATTGTAAAACAAGCTTAATACAAACAATATGCACTGAATATTATCAGAATAATTCTCAAAATATTGTTTCATATTGTTTCATGAAAGAGAAGCTATATATAAATGCCTTGTCCCTAGGTTTCGGTCTGCGAATTTGTTCAGTCTTTTCTTAGCCTAGAAGTCAGACAAGCCCAGGACACAATAAAGCATGCAAGCTTTTAGTATTCGTCTTTATATGAATACTATATTATTTTACTGTAAAAGGCAAGGATACAAAATACATGACACTTTTATCTCTACATTGTTGCAATTCCGAAGCTTTGCGTTGCTCAGTTTTACAAACGGGAAGTGTAGTTTATGGAAGCTTGTCAATCACTTCATTTGAATCAGTTATCAACCAATCAGAGCTCTGCGTCCAAATATTGGACGCATGCATATATAATAATAAAATATCATAGGGATCCTTGCAGGCTCTCTTTCACCCAGAGAGCCTGCTCGCAGGCTAGAAGAAAACACAAAATAAATACATATTTAATATCTGTAAATCGGATACAGATTTTGTCCTGATTTACATAATTATGGAAGAATACGAACATTTTCATCAAAGACAAAACGGTTGCTCATGTTTTATCTAAGTAGACATAATATATAATAACACACAAACCTGAGAGCTGGAAACCACTTGTATAACTTGACATCCATATAAGTCACATCACTGATCTCTACCAGTTCTACCACATGTGGATAGAAATGTGTGCCAGATTTATCAGTGTAGTTACATACACTATACACATGAGCACATCCTCTGCATTCTAGCGTGATTTTAGTGCATGGAACAGGACCTTCGAGAGTAAATAGCTTCGCCTTTGATGGGTTGTTCCTAATCGTTAAATTATTTTCACATGAAATGCACATTGAGACTGGTGGAGTTAAAAATTTATTGTATGAGAAGTCCTCAGTGTTTGTAAGCCGCCATAAGTGCTCGTCGGAATCTGTTTGGCCAACAAAGACAGCGCAAAATGTCTCCATAAATTTGATACACATCGACAGTTCTTCGATAGACAGTATCCTTGTCGTAGTCGTAGTTGTAAATAACTTGTGAATCAGGCTTGCTCGCAATGGAATTCCATTTACAACACGCGTTATATTTTTAGGAACATGCCTTAAGGCATTTCGCAAATTATTTAAACCATCTACCGATAGCTTACAGGCCAACAACTGCAGCGCTTCGTCTTCACTCACGTCGCATATCCCCAACATTGACAACAAACGCTCGAAATCCACATTGTTTAATGCTGATATTTTCTCCCGTACTTCGTTTATGTAGCCTCTGTTTGCTGTAGTACCATAGACAGCCCAAAACGGCGTGTAGAATGCACCAATAATGCTTCCAAATGTCAATTTGCATTAAGTTCGCCCCATTCCTTTGTCGCGCGCCGCAAGCACTCAATTTTGAAAAGCAGTGTTGATATATATAGATTATACCTAAGGTTGGCAACTATATCTCAACTGACGAATATACCACTTCGGCAAAGCGCAAAATACTTCATATACGTAAATAAAACATGATAAAAAATTATACCACATTGAACTCTGATATTTTTTCTACATACCCGCATATAAATTTTGTTTTCAAGACTGCAAGAAAGATGAAAAATTTGCACAAACGTTTCATGGTCTGATGAAAATTTTGTTGTACCTATGCGGGATGCTAGAGGTTATTTCATTTGTCATATTTTCAAAAAATTTATGCGATTCAATTGGTTGAAAAAATAAACAGTTTGTGACGTATTTATAGAAAAAATTTGGTTTCAGGGGGGTTGAACTACAACAGGAAGACTGCTAAAATACAAGAGCGATTTTTTTTTCGAAGATGAAATGGTGGATTTTAAAAACTTTTTACATCCATCCATAACTTTTATCTACAGCAAAACAACCAGGCAACTTTTGGCTACATGTACACGAAATGTCATGAAATTCTGAGCAATATAATGGCGAAGAAAATGTGCTATAAACAAGACGGCGATATGCAAACACACTTCGTTGTGAGTTGTGAACCTTGCTCGACAAAGTTTATATAGGTGAATTTATTTATAGCGTTTTAATTTAACTTGGTTCAATACTCAATAGGTTGGATAAATTTTTCCGTTTAATACTGAGTGAATGTGTATTTCACAAAATAGGCTGCAATTTGTAAGAGTGCTATTTTATACCCCAGCATGGAATTTTACATTTCTATTAAAACAACCTCGTATGAAAGTTATGAAAGTTTAATATGTATTCGATAATAAAAGCCTAAACATCGGAACCTAAACAAACAAACTTTAATGTACACGTTAGTTTTTAACAAAAACTAGTGACTGTATATAGGCCTATTAACTATTAGTACTGTGAATACTGTCTTTATACTGATAAATAAATAAAACAGGGCAAAATGCAAATTTGTTTTGATATAAAAACAGTTTTATAGTGATATAAAAACAGTTTCACCGAATTCACTTCGAAAGATTCTTGCTATATAGGCTATTTAAAATTATAACTAGAGATCCAGTACAAACACCTATTTAATACTGAATATTTGATTACTAGGAAAAAATAAATGATCCAACCTATTGTTCCAAGTTACAGTATTAAAAACGCTATAAAATAAATTCATACCTATAACTTTTCTGAGGTTCACAACGAAGCGTGTTCGCATATCGCCGTCTTGTTTATAGCACATTTTCTTCGCCACTATTGCTCAGAATTTTATGACATTTCGTGTACACGTAGCCAAAAGTTGCCTGGTTGTTTTGCTGTAGATAAAAGTTATGGATGGATGTAAAAAGTTTTTAAAATCCACCATTTCATCTTCGAAAAAAAAATCGCTCTTGTATTTTAGCAGTCTTCCTGTTGTAGTTCAACCCCCCTGAAACCAAATTTTTACTATAAATACGTCACAAACTGTTTATTTTTTCAACCAATTGAATCGCATAATTTTTTTGAAAATATGACGAATGAAATAACCTCTAGCATCCCGCATAGGTACAACAAAATTTTCATCAGACCATGAAACGTTTGTGCAAATTTTTCATCTTTTTTGCAGTCTTGAAAACAAAATTTATATGCGGGTATGTAGAAAAAATATCAGAGTTCAATGTGGTATAATTTTTTATCATGTATTTACGTATATGAAGTATTTTGCGTTTTGCCGAAGTGGTATATTCGTCAGTTGAGATATAGTTGCCAACCTTAGGTATAATCTATATATATCAACACTGCTTTTCAAATTGAGTGCTTGCGGCGCGCGACAAATGACAAAGGAATGGGGCGAACTTAATGCAAATTGACATTTGGAAGCATTATTGGTGCATTCTACACGCCGTTTTGGGCTGCCTATGGTAGTACTGGCCTTTATTGCCAAGTAGTCGAGAAGCGGGGCTGGTTTTCTTTTTCCCCCCTTTTTTTTCAGGCATTCTTACAGTACTTTGACTGTGATTCAACGCACGTGCAATATTGCGGGTGGGCGTGAAGGCGCGTCATTACGGGCGCAGGCTATAGCACGATAGCACGCGTGCTTTCACGCCAAAGTACGGGCGCTCGGTTAGATTTAGGCTGCATTTGACAGATAATGGCAAAGTGAGTATCTATTTTCTACCCCAAGACTCTTTCCTTTGAGTAAAATAAGAATGTAGGGTTCATTTCGGCACATTGCTGCTTAATGAGCTGACTATATCTCAGGGGCTGCTCATTGGCAGATAGTATATTTAACCCACTGAGTGGCAGCAGTGAGCAGTCTCCCCTTAAAGCTAGATTACAGTCGATTCTGCGCATGTGCGGGCTTTGTTTACATTTTTTGTTTTGGTTTGGATCCACTTCAATTGTATAATATGAAGTATAGCGGCTATGCACTAAATAAATGGAGTCCGAGTCAGGAGTGGAGTTGTTAATTTTTTAAAAATTGTCTTCTGAAAGACAAGCAATTAAGAGGCTGTCTCCATAAAAACCTCCAGGTCAATATGGGGCTCAAAAATAGATTTCTCTCATACTCTAGTATTTTGAAGATCTATCCTTGGTAACAACTAAAATCGATTTCATTTTACTCAAATTTCCTTTATATTATTTTTGCGGGCGATTGAAGTTCGATCGGCTGGTAACCAACTTGAACTCCGAATAATATGTA